GATGCAGTTATGACAATAACATGACACTGATCTTGTCAGTAACTCTGATTGGTTTACCGGCAAGATGGCGTGGGTCGACATGGTGCCGGGTATAGGCTTACAGTCCAATCGATCGAGTGTCACGGTTGCATCATCATAGTCTTCTTGGTTATAGAAGACATACTCTATTACCTTCTGGTGTGCAGAGGCCCATGAGAAGAACTCTTTCGCGTCTTGGATAACGACTTTCCCCTGTTTGACAGCGTCGGCAGCCTGTCGCTTCGCTTCTCCACCAATGCCATCACATGCCGATTTCCCGTGCCCGCATTCAAAATAATTCCATCGGGCCTTCATACCAAACAAGGACTCGTGATGGCAAGCTACGCTGAAGATATACCGATTCCGGTATTGCGATGACGGACTATCTGTCCAGTAATGAACAGTTCCTATGTTGGGGACCAAGTCTTTCATACGTTTTACCAATTTCGTCATGATCGCAAGCACGGACTTTGCGTTGTGCTCTCGAAGATTGGACACGAATACAAAGCTCTTGTGCTGCAACTCGCCGAACGCTACGTTACTAGGCCTGTAGTATACTACAACAGGGTGTAGGGTGACACTAGTGCTGTTCCAATAAGCACTTTGAATTTCATCGGCCGTCTGACATACGAAGTTTTCGCTGAAATCCATCTGTACGAGAACATCATTATCTGGGAGTTTCATTTTCAGATCCCGGATGGCTCTAAATTGTTGGCGGACTCTTTCTACATGTTCAAGAAACAGTTTATGTTCATTCTCCATGAGCCTTATGAAGTCATCACGACCTTCTTTCACCTTCACAATCCGTGTCTTCTTGTAACCATCGACTTTCTGCCACTTCTCATATTCCACCTCATTCTGCTTGATCTGGGACACACAAGAAACCATTTCCTTAACCGTTTTTTCTACAGCTGCTTCAGGGTTTGGGGAAATGTTAATTCCCATTGCGCGAAGACACTGAAGTTTAAGTGCGAAATTCTGATGCGTTGTACACAAGCATATGTTTCTAGACAGAAATTTCGTCAACCTGATGTTTTTTGGACGCAGTCTACAAAAGTTCGACAGTGAAATTTGCAAATCTGGACGTTCTGCGCGAAAGCGAGCATGAAGGTACGATAGATAGTCATTTAGTATGCGTATCTGGACTTTGGACTTCTCCAGATCGACTTTTATGGCATCTTTTTTCCCCGGCATGCATCTGCTGACGTCGTCTCTTTCAAAGTAAGAAACAACTTGGTCACGTACGTAGGCTCTAGCTGCTTC